CTGGCCAGAAAATGGAAACCTTAATATAACACCATTCTCCAGCTAGGTCTTTTCTGCCATCATCAAGGAAAATGGACTGAAGTACCATATGTCCAAATCTTTATGGCCTTAAGGAACAATCCAGCCCTTTGTAAGATTTGCAGCTAGACCAGTTTTGCCACTCCCAGGGAAATGGACAGAGGTCCCATATACCCAAGTCTCTCTTGCTCTAGGGATGACCCTAAGCTATGTACTACCTGTAAACTATATCTCTCTGTAATTGCTACAGAACCTGGAAGAAAAATATACCCAGATTGGGGGGGAGGGGGGGGAGGCATTCCAAAAAATGAGTGAATAAATTTGTCAGTTCTTTGCCTACATTTGGGTGGCAACCCAATTCTTGAGATATTAGAAAACCACTGTCCTGGTTTTACAAATGAAATCTTCACAGGGCCAGAGGTGTGGTTCCAAAAACAATTCAAAGGCCACCAAATCTTACTGGTACCTTTTTTTTAAATGCAAGTTTCTAAGAGGTAATTCTTATTTTAAAGGGGAAAAAAAAAAACCTTAGTCAACTGAGCAACAAATTAACTTTTTTCAGCTGGTAAATACTGATTGCTAGCTAAGTCTTAAGTTCACCTACTTTTGGCCTTTTATTACTAAAAAAGCTAGAAAATAGCTTTAGAGCTATCAATAAATGTGTTATACTTTGTTAGATGTCTCTTACAGATATGAGTGTTTGCCAATAAAAGAGCCTATGTTTCTAGAAGCCATAAAATGTATTTGCCAATCTAAACAATGCTAATTGCTTACTTTTAGTTGTCACTAAAAAAAATAACTTTTCTAAAAGTTAAGAATTCAAATAAAATTGAAAAGAAACTGTATGGTTTGGTAATAGAAGTTATAAAATATGGCAATGCAGTTTTGAAGGACAAGGATTGAAAATGAGTTGGTCTAGACCAGCGGTTCTCAACCTGTGGGTCGCGACCCCTTTGGGGGTCGAACGACCCTTTCACAGGGGTCGCCTAAGACCATCGGAAAACACATATATAATTACATATTGTTTTTGTGATTCATCACTATGCTTTAATTATGTTCAATTTGTAACAATGAAAATACATCCTGCATATCAGATATTTACATTACAATTCATAACAGTAGCAAAATTACAGTTATGAAGTAGCAACGAAAATAATTTTATGGTTGGGGGTCACCACAACATGAAGAACTGTATTAAAGGGTTGCGGCATTAGCATTAGGAAGGTTGAGAACCACTGTTCTAGACCGTCGAACCGCAGAGGGAAGGCGGGGGGCGGGGGCAGGCTAGTAGAGATCAACCAAAGGACTTGTATGCATGCATATAAGCATAACCAATGGACAGAGACACCAGGGGGGGCGAGGGCATGTGCTGGGGGGGGATGGGGGTAGCCAGGGAGAGGTCAATGGGGGAAAAAGGAGATATATGTAATATTTTAAACAATAAAAGAATTTTTTTAAAAAGAAAAGAAAGAAAAAGTTGTTCTAAAGCTGGTTATTTCTAAACGGGAAAAAGATTTGTGATCATAGCCCCTTCTACAGTCTTCTTAAAAGTTGTCAAAAGCAAACGAAAAAGATTTTGTTCCTTTTCTACAGAAATTAGTAATTTGGATGATTTTGAGTATGCGTATGGTCTTTATGTGATATGTGTTCATCTGTATTATATGTGGTGTGTTTTCTGTCTCCACATGGCATAACTAGGGTATAAAATTTATTGGTTAAGAAATGAAATATTTATATAGATTAATCAGGATCCTGTGTTCTTGAAAAAATGTTTAATGTTAAAATAAGTTTAAGTTGTATTAACATCTTTTAAAGTCATTATTATAAAATATGTATTTGTTTTACCTGGGTTTATAAAAAATGTATATTATAATCTTTTGGTTGGTTGTTTGGTTGGTTGTTTAAATTTTAAGAAACATTTTTTAACTGAGAAATGACTTTGAGTTATTCCAATGGGCCCCTGGAATGCTTCAAAAATTAGTTCTCTCTCCTTATAAAGAGAAGTTTTTGAGCTAATTGGGGCTATTTAGTATGCTTAAAATTACATGGAAAGCTTTGCCAAATAAAATAACAATAGTAATAGTAATAATAACTATGCTATATTCTATACATATATTTTTATTAAAATGGATGTCCTAAAATTTTCAGCCTGCCTTAAGAAGGAACTTGCAAAATTCAAAGCCAAGTTCAAACAAAAAAACTCTCAGGTGCCCTGTCAGTGACACCGGGCAAGCTAAGAGTGATGGCCCTGTGGAGGCATCCAGCATCGTATTCCATGTGTTTGTGGCCCACGCATTGGAAGCCTATGAATTGTTTTCGATGTTCAGAGCGCACATGTAGTGTTTTTAAATCTTACATACTATTTGTTCTTTATATATTGAAATTGTGTATAAAACCTAAAAATGTGGGTTTTGAGTCATTTCACAGTAATTATTATTTACCAAGAAATTGTTATCTTGAAGAGTTTTATCTTATAAAGAAAAACAGAGTTCTTTATCAATTGCATAATAATCAGGTCTATAACCACATCATTCTAAGTTGTGTCATTTACAGACAGTCATTGTTTTGCTCTGATGCATTTGCAAATATGTTCGTTACATCCTTGGAAAGGTCCATGAAAGGGACTCTGACTTCCTCTAAATTACAGGTTTCTAAACAAGTCATATCTTTAAACTAGATGATTTATAGAACGCTAAGAAATAACTGGATTAATAAAAATACTGGCAAATAATCAGAATAAACAAAAATTGGTTTTGTGGGAATGAATGGACTGAGCATAATTATAATTCTATTATTTTGTTCAAAATATTGCTGATTTTAAAATCTTTTGTTTTCCATATATAAGAAAACTTGTTTTTACCCTACAGCAATTTGGTAAATTATATCCTCATAGCTCTAGATGGTTTTCTCAGTGGTTAGAGCATCGGCCCTCAGACTGAAGGGTCTCAAGTTCAATTTTGGTCAAGGGCATATATCTCAGTTGCAGGCTCAATCCAGGCTCAATCCTCAGCCTGGGTGGTGCATGCCCAGTTGGGGTGTGTGCAGCAGGCAACTAATCAATGTGTCTCTCTTACATTGATGTTTCTCTTCCTCTGTGTGGCCCCTCCCTCCACTCTCTCTAAAAATCAATGGGGGTAGGGGGATATCCTTGGGTGAGGATTAACAAAACAAAACAAAAAAATTACACCCTCATAAACAATATTGAAGCATTTATATTTTCCTCCCTACCTAATCCCTCCAGATTTGGCAACTCTTAATGAGTGAGTGTTATTATTTTCATGGCAATACACTTCTTTGCATGAATTCAATAAGACCAACTTCCAATTGTGGTTTTATTAGCCACGACTTTGACTGGAATGTCATGCCTAAGAGAGATATGCCTGAACACTGCATATCACTGGAAAGCCTTAAGGAATGAATATTGACTTTTGTTTTGTTTTTTGTTAATCCTCACCTGAAGACATTTTTCCATTAGTCTTTTAGAGAGAGTGGAAGAGAGAGGGAAAGACAGAGAGAAACATCGATGTGAGAGAAACACATCGATTGGTTGCCTCCTGTATGCGCCCTGACTAGGGCCTGGGCCAGGGAGGAGCTTGTGACCAAAGTATGTGCCCTTGACCGGAATAGAACCTGGGACCCTTTGGTCTGCAGGTGGACGCTCTACCTACTGAGCCAAACTGGCTAGGGCTGAAGATTGACTTTAAAGCCAAAAAGATAACATCTAGGCCTCAGTTGTATTTCAGCTCCAGACCCAGAAAAGCGGCAAGCTCAGAAAAGTGTCTCTGTGGCTGCCTCAGGACCAACTGCAGTGACTAATGCCCCCTGCTCTGGCACCAGCCAATCAGTCAGTGGAGACCACAACCCTGAAAAAGCACATTTAGAAAGCTGATAAAAATTTTATTGAGAGCACCCCTATGATTCCACCTGCAAGAGAGAGATGGATATGCTCAGGATGAAGGACCCGGCACACACTCTCCCCCAGGGGAACATGCCCACTCCATTTCCTTCCCACTTCTTTCCTCTAAGGGACCCCACAAGACTTGTAACTAGGGGAGCAATGAGCAGCGGCAGCTCAGACCGGGCTAACCCCCTTAAACCTGTCTCCACGGCCCTCTTCGCTCTGACTTCTCAGTGAGCCAAAGCAGCCTAGCCTAGGCTCTCCTGTTGCTTCTTCTATGCACCTTCCTGGTTAAATATGGGAAATATTGAATTAAATATAGACTTACCATCATCATTACAAAATTTCACTTCAGAAACTTCAATATGCTAATATGCACCCTGAAGAGAAGGTGTATGGCCTTTTCAAACTTATTTGGCCCAGACTGTTCTATCAGCTCATCTCCAAAGCCAAGAGACTGTAGAACAGGCTCTACCTGGACTTGTCCACACATCACAGACACTCACTACATTCTAGCAAAATTTCAACACTATCCACTCTCCATTGAATTGAAACTGTCTGTAATATTCTTTGCCTTAGACTTGTTCATGAGGGTAAATATGCAAATACAGGGTGTCCCAAAAAATGTATACACACATTTTGAATAATTATAAAGACATTGTTTATTAAAATACATTCCATTTTCAAAATTGAGCCATCGGCCGTTAAAGTGTGTATACATTTTGGGGGGACACCCTGTAGAATCAGAAACACAAACTCATTTCTTCTCACTAGATCTCAGCCCAGGTGCCCAGAGTACTGAAATCAGCCACTCTGGCAGGTTGACCTACAGCAACGCTATCACTTAAATTAGGATTTTTAAGTGATAGAAGAGGAGAAAGGAAAACAAGCCGCTTCCTACTGGCCCTGTGCCTTCCATTTAGCACATCTAAAGGACCATTTTTCCTCATTTCAAAACTGATAGCCAACTTATTCTTGTTGTCTTGCTATTTAAATGTCTGTCTTCTTTTGCCAGAGCTTATTTACTCTAACACTGAATTTTAAGCATCTCTAAAAACACTTGATATGTTATTATGCTTTCCAGATAGCCTCTGAGAGGCACACAAAGAACGTTCAGGAAGAAAGGAGGAATGACGCTGAATACAGTGCAGTGAACAAAAGGAGCTTCAAGGAGAGGCGCCCCGCTGCCCAGAGCCTGGACCGTGTCTCAGAATGAGAACTTACCGGTACTTCTTGCTACTCTTTTGGGTTGGTCAGCCCTACCCAACTTTCTCAACTCCATTATCTAAGAGGACTAGTGGTTTCCCAGCAAAGAAAAGGGCCCTGGAGCTCTCTGGAAACAGCAGGCATGAGCTGAACCGTTCGAAAAGGAGCTGGATGTGGAATCAGTTCTTTCTCCTGGAGGAATACACGGGATCCGGTAATCAGTATGTGGGCAAGGTAGGATTCCATGGGGTGCTCTGACATTGTGGTTTTAAAAGCCTGAAGAAGTTAACTGCTAGCAGACAGACGGGGAGGATGTGCACTAGTCCCCAATGCAGTAAGAACTGTTGCTTATCTGGTAAGAGTTCTTTTCCCACTCGAGTCGTTTCAGGTAGAGGACTGTAGCAAGAAGCTGAGAAATGTTAGCACTCTTACAAAGAGAGAGAAATGCCCCGGTGGGAAATGAAACGCCCACAACCATCCGCACAGGATTATCATAAATCCTTTAATTTTTACTTTAGCTGGAAAAATATGGCCCAGCTTATTCTACGAAGCTGGAGGTATTAAAAATAGGAACAGAGCGATTAAGCCGTAAGGAAAGGCAGGTCCCTTTTTCTCCGTCTGAAAGCAAACATTCTGAGCTTTTGTTCTTTGGCCGGGTTCAAGTTAACTATTTCTTAACTCTGATATCTACAGTGCCGGCCATTCTCTGACCTAATGGAGCCCTTTGCCCTCAAAACCCTCCACCGCCTTAGGTTGGCTGTTGGGACTGCTGCTGCCAGTTTGTCTTGTCTCAGCTCATTGGCAAGAACTAGGCATTTCAAAGACTTGTGGTTTAGCCATGGCGAGGTGCACAGAAGAGACAAATGGTTATGGGGCGGTGCTATTTCCAAATATCATCTGACCATTTTACTGACTCCAGAAAGTGGGATGAGGAGGCATCGCTTCTGATCGCCCCGAGCCAGGGCTGGCGCTGAGTCAGGGAAACAGCTTGGTTACGCTGTCAGCCTGAGTTTCCCTGACATTTTATCATCAGCTCCATTCGTGTTGCATACTGTAAAGATGTGAAAAATAAGAAGCCAGGGATAAGGGTTTGAACTTTGTGAGTTCTGTGTTTCATCATATGGTGTTGGTAAGAAAAATCATCGTCACACGTCCTGTACGCAAACAAACTGGGGATGAGTGTGTAACAGAGATGATAAACATCTTCGTTTATGATTGCAGCTACGATTTCAGACATCAATAGTAGTGTCTGCAAATTGCATAAATTTTGCAGATTCCACGGGCTGTGTGGTCACACTTCAATCTGTTGTCAAATAGCCCCGAAGAGCCATGTGCAGAGCAGTCTCTTTAAGTATTTACCACTATCAGTGAGGGAGAGCCAGCCATGGCCTGGGCTGAGGTAACCAGGCTTAGTTCCAATGAAGTGAATTATTAATATGAATAAAGTAGGAGAGGAAGTATTCGGTGAAGGGGTGAACATCAACACAGATCCCCAAGGGCCTAGCCTTGTATTTGCTGTGAAATTCACACGCTGTGCGGCTGCTGAAGACAGTCCGAGTGCCTGTACTTCTCTCTGTTTCTCTTGTGAAATTTGAATAGCGCTGCATTAAAATTTAGGGTAATGGTTGTAGAAACATTAATAATCCTATCATCTTTAAAGCACTTTCTAGAATACAAATAACTACTGTCATAGAAGTTTTTCAAGTATTTTGTCTAATTGACCCTCCTCTTTCTCTTTTCTGCTTTTTCCTCTCAAATGGTGATGCCCTTGTACAACAAAAATACCATGTATTTTTAAAGAAAGGCAGGCTATTTCAGGACACTAGGAGCAGCAGTGAACAGAACCGGCTAGGAATCTGCTCTAGGATTATAATTGCGGGAAGTAGTATTGCCTCAGGGAAAAGTCCTGAGCTGTGGCCCAGGGCCAGCGATTAACCTTCCAGGCTTCAGCTTCTCATCTAGAAAACAGCAATGCCTTGCTTCCTGGAGTTGCCGTGTAGTTTAAGTGAGATGAGAACTAGTGGCTGGCACATAGTAGGGGCATGAAGAAGTTGTTATTATTGGTGAAAAACCCACTCTATGCTCTCTATTCTCTCTATTACATTTATTGATAATGCATAGAAGTGGAATGTTGATTTTTATATCATTGCAAAAGTAAAATGAGGTAACTGATGGATCTCTCAATGGGTGGGAAATGTAAAGGAGAGAGGAGAAATCCCTTTACAGTCACAGCTTCAATCTGATTGGTTGGATTGGGATATTTTATTAGCAGCAAGATAAATTTCCCTGCCTTGCCTTCGCCTGCCCCTCCCCCACCTCCAGGAAGCTGTAACACAGAAGAGAGCACTAGCTGGAGAAGAAAGTCAAGGGCAGGGATTGAGTAGTGGGCAGCCTTGCTTCATCTGATATGTGTGTGAGAGGTATTCGTGCACTATTCATAGGGCATTTTCCCGAATCTGTCTTTGGAGTTATGTATCATCAATAGACAAAAGGAAGACTATAATGTGCTTTGTACCACAATAAAAAAAAAAAAATAGACAAAAATAAATAAATAAAATTTTTTTAGAAAAACGGGTTGGGAACAAGTTGGTCCACTTTTAATAAATATAGAATAAAACAGAAACCGATGAGATTATCCAGATCCATAGGGTCAAGAAACTTTTGAAAACAAAATTTTTTTTCAAGATCAGGCAATAGCAAAGTTTCCAAATTTTCTCAATTCACAATGTCCTTAATGTCTCAATCATTTTTTTTTACGGTGTCCTTCGGTCAAAAGAAATAGTTAGGTCCAAACAATTTACTAAGTATTTATGTTCTAAAAACAAATAACTGTTTGACAAAAATACGCATCAGTTAACAGAAAAAAAAATTGTATTTCATTCTTAAATAACCACAGTTACTTACTAATGGAAGGTGTGTGCCTTCCGGGCACTGCACAACTTCTCAGACTGGACATTTCCTTTTCCACATTGATTTTTGCATATACCTGCCTTCTGCTACAGTGCTGGGGGCAAGGCAGCTTCATAAATACATAACATCATCAAAAGAAATGTAGCACCACCTACTGTTGAAACTGTGAACTACTCTGAGCTAGTGCTTCACAAGATGTCTGACAGAGACAGGGTTTGTTGCATTATTTCCCTGGAAATTTTTAAATGTTTTTCTGGTGCCACAGTGAGTTCATTGCTACACCCCAAGGTACCTCAGTGAACACTCTGGGAACCATTAGACAATAGTCAGATTCCCATGTAAAGGTGTACAAAGGCTAACTGAACCTTATCCCTAGTAAAAAATAGTTACTTAGAGCCTCTTCTTGAGGCCTAAAACTGAAAAGATTAATAGTACAGGTAATGGCCGAAACCGGTTTGGCTCAGTGGATAGAGCGTCGGCCTGCGGACTGAAGGGTCCCGGGTTCGATTCCGGTCAAGGGCATGTACCTGGGTTGCGGGCACATCCCCAGTGGGAGATGTGCGGGAGGCGGCTGATCGATGTTTCTCTCTCATCGATGTTTCTAACTCTCTATCTCTCTCCCTTCCTCTCTGTAAAAAACCAATAAAAAATATTTAAAAAAAATAGTACAGGTAATGGATAGAAGCGTTAACTGAGGAAAAGTAGTGCAGTTGAGCAAATAACACTTAAAGTAGAAGAAAAGTGTTTTTACATGATAAACATTTGTTTATATTTGTATTTGTGTTCATTGGTTCCAGTTATTCTGGGTTTAAGTCAATAGAGATGACAGTGACAATTGTGAAGCAAGGAAAATTTGAGAATTGGTGTGGGAGCAAAGGGCTGTCGAGAGTCCAAAGAGAAAAAAAGATAGGGTCACATGAGCATCCAAGAAGCAGGAGAAGACAGAGTTGGAGGCTGGATGACAGCAAAGTGAATAGACAAGATCATACTTAAAACTTGAAGTGCAAGCGAGAGCAGTAAGACCTTCCTCCTTTTCTTGTCTTAATACTCCTCAGCATTTCCCTCATGGCCATAAGATGAACAGAGACACAAACATGGACTCTGCAGGTTAGGTAGGGAGGCACTTACTGCGAACAGCTGAGATATTAACAACCCAAACTCTGACATATGGTGACATTTCAACACCTGACTCACCTAGAATGGTGGTGGCAGGTAGGGGTAACCAGGTAGGTAGAAGTGGTCCTGTACTGGGTAAGAGTTTGTGAGCTTAAGATAGATAGATACAGATAAGGAATGAGATTTTTTTCTAAAATACATGAATATTTGGATGCTGATTTACCATAAGTAGCATCTATGTCTCCTGGGCACTCATTAGAGATGCAGATTCTTGGGCCCCACCTGAGAAGCTGCATTTCAACAAGAGCCCCCGGTGAACTGTATGCACATTCAAATTTGACAAGTGCTGCTTTTACAAATACTTTGCCTGGGTCTCCCCTCCCCAGAGATTCTGATTGACTTGGTTTTTAATTAAGTATTTATGAATTTATGATTCCAACATGTGACAAAATTTGAGAATCGTTGCCCTAGGAGAATATTATCAGCAATAATTATAACACAACATGGCAAGTTCAGTGATAAACGTCTGATGGAAATATAAGAGAGAGGGCCAACTGGGAGCGGGGTTCAGCAGAGCTTCCTGAAGGAGGTGATGATGTTGAAGAACCACTTCAAGGTGTCAGCTCGCACAGCAGAGGGAGAATTACCAGGACTTCCCAAATAATTGGACGCCAAAGGAGAGAAAGCCAAAGGTTCAGAGATTTCTATTCAGAATCAGACCGTGATTCTATTAGAATCACTAATGCCGGCACAGGAAACAGAAAGAGGTGCATATTTTCTCGTCCAGGTTTTCAGGGAAGAGTGTACGATTTAATACAAAATCTACTTAGGTTATTTTTGGCTTATAGAAAAATAAGAAGAAAGCATCATAATTTCACACTTTCAGAAAAACACCACGCCTTCCTGCCAGCTTTAGGTAATGTAGCAATTCCTTGGTGACAATCAGTCTATAGTGTGAGATTAAGCTCAATAAGAAAGAAGAACAGAGGCAGATATTGATTAGATGTTCGAGGCACAGGCATTAAAACATAGATAAATATATTTTTAAACCTCACAACTATGCACAATATGAGGCAAAAGATTCACATATTGTCATTAAACAGACCCCAGCGAAGCTTAATTTCCTTGTCTCCTCCACTTGATCCTTCACAATGTTCTTTGTTCTCTTCCACACAATGTGTACCTAAAACTAATCTCCATTAGAAGCA